GGCGGTCACGCGGCGCAAAGAGCGCGGGCCCCGCAGGAGTGCGCCCTGGCGCGCGCGAGTCTGGGGGCACCGTGTTCCGGCGCCCGCTGAGTGCGGGGAGTGCGCACCCTTCACGCGGCGGGGAACCGACTCAAAGTCAAACACTCTAGGCGTTTGGGCGACGCCGCCCGCACACTCGAGGGAGCGAACACGGGTCCCTTGGGCGGCCGCAGCGGGCAGAGCTGAGCTACTGGCCTCTCCGCAGCCAGCTGTTGGGGGCCGGGCGCCACTCCCAGAGCTCCGGACCCCCAGGCGCGGGAGTGCTCAGAGCTGGGGTGCCTCCACCTCCCGCTGTCCTATCGGAGCCTGAGCACACCTCCACCTTGGGCTCCAGAAGCCTGCGCCCCCTGTCCTGCGGCCGCACTCCCTCCCTGTTGGTGCCCACGCACGCACGGCTCTAAGTCCCCGGGTGGCTTATTAATGACACAGGCAGGCAGGCAAGAACCAGGCGCTGCCCTGAATTCCGGCCTCGGCCTCGGGGTGGTGTGGCAGAGGAAGTCTGAAAGGAGAGGGTAGGACAGGGAGGTTGTGGAGTCAAGGAGTCCTGAGGAAGGCCCAGGCCGTAGGGCTGTCCCGGCCCTACCCAGGTCTCCACTCTCTGTCCAGGTGGCCCCTGCTCAGGAAGGCAGGGTGACATTGAGCCACAGGGAGCAGAGGTGCCCGCCCTGCCAGCAGCTGCTCAGTCCTGGGGAAGGTCAGGTCCCACTTCTGACTCCCAGACAGGGCCTGCGGTTTCTGAAGCAGATGTCGCAGAACTTGTGGGGTGGTCTGGCTCTCCCCAAGGCTCCCTATTGACCCTTGTCCTGCTGGAGGCTTGCCAGCCCTCGTCTCACTGACGGAGCACTGCTAGCGCAGGCTCTCCTCTTCAGCTTCGGTTCATGTTTTTATTTTGAAAATCCTGTTTCAAGGCAGAGAGCCAACGGAAGCAGTGAGAATCTGCCCAGGCAGCCCCAGCCTGGCCCTGCTTAGGGCTCAGGTGCCCCATGAATCCCTGGGGCAGAAGGCCTCTGGTACTGTCTGTCTCCACCTCAGCAGAGGGAAGGAAAATGCCCCCTGGCTCTGTGGGAGGGCAGGGAGGAGAGCGGCTAGGTTCAGGTTCTGGTGTTTATTTTGCTGGAGGGTGGTGTGCTGGCCAGAGATAGACAGGGAGGGAGGGAAAGCATCCCCCAGTGGGACGCGCTCACACTGCAATCCCCTCTCCATATGGAGGTGTGCACGCGCACACACCTACCGTGTTTTATAGCCACTGAGGCCGAGATTCAAACCATGTGGGGTTCAACTCCCTTAACCTCTGGACCGCCATCCCTGGCTCCATGCTCCACTCCCTGGAGATTTTCCACAGGTGTGGCCTAAGAGGTTGCCCTGGGATGTGGAAAGAAGGTAGGAGAAATCTTATTTGTGTTTATTTTCATGTCATCTTTTACAAATCGTATGTATGTCTCCTGGTGAAGGCAAGCATTTGGACAGTAGCCCAGGATCTCAATTATAAGTGGATGCATGTATCTATTTTGTGAATGCACGTTTAACTTGTGCCTTTGACTGAAGAGGCTGTGTAAGCAGAGGAGTTTGGACAGGATCGTGCAGAGCCCTTGCTCTGAGCCTCTCTTCTTTCTTTTCAGTTTGCCATAGGACGTGTGCACTCCCAGAGAGGCAGAAAGAGAGGGAAAGTGAGCAAGCACCCCCTAGCAGAAAGAGAGGGAAAGTGAGCAAGCACCCCTAGAGGAATGGCCACACCACAATTTCTTCTCCTCTATCTGCCTCTCAGGATTTGGGGCACACACACACAAACCTGGCATATTTCTCAAGCTGCCAGGTCCAGGCCTTGAACCACCCAGTTGGCCATGTGGGATCCAGAGCCTTAACCACCACACCCTGCTGGCCCCAAAACTCTTGTCTTTCTGATTTAGTCTTTTTTTTTTTTTTTTTTTGTTGAGAGAGATATTTTTTTTAAAGAATGATTTTATTTAACTTTTTTTTTTTTAATTTAATTGGATCAGAGAGGGAGAGAGTAAGAGAGGAGAGAAAGCAAGCCGGCCGCCAGGTCTGGGACTAGAACCATGGACAGCCATGTGGGAGTCCAGCACCCCCAACCACCATGCCACCTGCTGGCCCCTGGAGAAGGATTTTCTATAGGGTGTGTGCACTCGCGGCAGAGGGAAATAAAGAGGCAGAAAGTGTGGCAATCCCTTCTCCTCCATTCTCCTCTTGGGGCTTGGGGCATGCTTGCACAGCTCCCGGTGTGTTTTAAGCCACCAGGTCCAGGACTCGAGTCCCCTTCAACTACATGGGAGTCCAGCGACATAGCCATTACACCATCTACTGGTCCCCTGATTTAGTCATCTAATCTTCTCCCCTTTCCTCTTCCTCTCCTGATGCCTCTGCGGTGACCTGACTGCTCAAGTGCCATTTCACTGCCTGTTACAGGGAGGTGCTGCCTGCTTCTGTCCGAGGGCCCCTTCTTCCTGGAGCATCTGCAAATTCAGATGCCCCAGCTCCTCTTTGACGATTTTCCTGCTGCTGCAACACCCACAGTGCCCTGTGGGTGCCTTTAATGGCTCTGAAGTCACTCTACTACAGTTGTTAACTTGACAGTGCCTCTACCTAGACCATCAGCCCCCTGAGGACAGGGCTCGGCTAGCAGCAGACCTACTTTCCTGGGGTTCTCAGGTCATTTACCCCACCCCTGGAGGGGAGAGCCACTGGGTCCAGTGAGGTTAATCAGTCCTCACAAGGTCGGAGCTGCTGACTCCACTAATCAGCTTGGGCCTCCTAATCCATCCCCAGCAGGAACTTCAGGACAGGTGGCAGTGGCTCCAGAGAGCTGGCCGGGGTCATCTTGGCCCCTGGCCTGTGGCTTTCTTCTGCAGACTCACTCTGGGAGGGGATGGGGCAGCTGAGCCATGTGCACCACGTTCTTCCTGCTCAGCACCTTGGCCATGCTCTGGCGCCGCCGATTTGCCAATCGGGTCCAACCGTGAGGAACTGGCTGGGCTGGGCTGTGGCGGGGTGGTGGAGGGACTACTGGGCTGGGCTTCAGCCCTGCTGCAGGTGGGGGAGAGGCAGAGGGGGGCGCTGCCTGGATCTCCAGGGAGGTTGCCCGGTGTTTGCAGGAACCCTAGAGAGGTGCACTCTCCAGACTTCGTGGAACTCAAAAGCAGCAGGTCACAGACTCATCTAGGTTGACTAGGTGGTGCGGGGAGCAGAGGAGGGAGCTGGCACTGCCCACAGCCCTTCTGCCTGCTCTTCCCTCCCCCAGAGAGCCCAGTGGAGCCGAGGGGGCGGATGGGGCAGCTGTGGGGAGCAGCCTGGACACAGACCTCCAATCCCCAGGCAGGTAAGGCAGGAGAGCGCGTTTGGGGAGGCGGGTGCTGCTGAGGCAGCTTTTGCTGTGTGCGCCTGGGGATGTCCCAGAGTGTGTGTGTGCACGCACGCGCGCACGTGCACACACCCCAAAAGCTACTGTGCCTTGTTTCTCAAGTGTGGGGGACCCCTAGGAGTATGTTCTGTTGGAAGTCTCAGGGGAGGAAGAGGAAGGGGAGTCAGAGAGGGACGGGCAGAGCAGCTCAGTACCGCCTAGCCTTCCTGGCCCTCCTCCTCCCCCAGCCTTGGGCTCCACTGCCTGAACCTCCACCAGGATTCGCTGCCCAGTGGCCAATAGAAGGCGCAGGAGGAGCATGACATCATCAGCACTGAGTGCAATTGGCTGGGCAGCCCCTGCGGGCAGGACGCTATCTCCAGTGGCCAAAAAGTTAACTCTTCCCTAGGCCACAGCCAAGTGGCCTTGGGGCGGGGGCGGGTGCAGTTGTGCGAACTTCCAGACCGTCCTTCCTTGGACACCCCATGCCATTTAATGACAGGGGCCCTGATGCCCGCCAAAACACTGGAAAGAATCAGCTAACATGCATGCGGTGTCCATGTTCCTAGGACCCACCTAGTGTGGGAGACCTTTTAGGAGTGTCGCTCTCTCACTCCTAGTGAAACCAAGAGCCAAGAGTCTGTGATGGGCTGGCTCTGCGGCCTGGTGGTTAAGGCACAGGATTCCACATGCCTACCCTGTGGTTCAAATCTCAAACCTAGAGGCTTGAAAAACATTCTGTGTGTGCCCCAAATCCCAACAGGATGGAGAAATGGAGAAGGGATTGCAAGGGGACCATGCTCTGGGAAAGTGCTTTCTCCTCCTCCCTCTCTTCCTCTGCCGCTCTCTGGCAAGTGCGTGTGTCCTCTGACAAAATTAAAAAGAAATGCTCCCGGACCAGCAGGTGGTGTGGTGGTTAAAGGCACTGGATTCCCACGTGGCCAACCACAGTTCAAGTCCCAGACCTGGTGGCTTGCTTTCTCACTTTCCCTTTCTCTCTGCCTCTCTCTGATCAAATTGAAAAAAATAATAATAACAAATGGAATTAAATAAATCTTAAAGAAAAAGAAAAAAGAAACGATCCCGTGGTGCCCTAGGGCTCCAGGGTGCAGGAGGGTATCTCACACCCAGTGTGCTCAGACGGCTAGTACGAACAGCATTCATGCCTGCTGTCCACCCTGCCCCATGTCTCTGTGGGTGGGCAACCTGCCCGCAGTGTGTGCCTTCGAAATGTGGATACCGGCAACCCTGAGAACTGAAGTTTTTCTCTAAGTATCTGGTCATGTTAGTCCTGGGACTCCCTGATTCTGATGGTTGGAAGGCCCATCAGAAATTCCTGGGCATAAATAAGAAACAAAGCTTTGCTGTGACACCCTGCCTTGACTCCCTGAGCTGGCAGAGATCCCCGCATTAGCGCCTGTGTGATGGTATTAACTGAACGGGCTGGCAGAAAAGCAACCTTCTCCAGGCCTTACCCAGAAGAAGCACCGAGGGCTGACTGGTCCTCATGACTGAGTCTGGGTCTTGCGTATTTCTATGTAAAACTGGGGTTGATAACAGAGCAGTTGTGAGGTTGTTGGGAGGGCACAGCAACGGCTCAATAAACGCCGGATTTTCTCGTGTGTGTGTGTGTGTGTGTGTGTGTGTGTTAATAGCTGACCAGTGCTTTCTCCTTCCCTGAAGTTTCACATCCCTTGGAAACCTCAATAGCTGTAGAGGGCTGGCAGGATGTATGGCTTTTTCCTTGTTGTTGTTTGCTTGTTTGTTTAGAGTCACTCACTCACTGGGGACAGAGAGAGAGACAGAGACAATGAGAGGGAAAGTAAGAAATCCCCCCCGGGAGTGGGGTCATGACACAATCCCTTCTCCTCCATTCACTTCCCTGGCAACCAGAGTGATATTTTAAAAAGATTTATTTATTTTTAATTTTATGTATTATTATTATTCAATTTTGACCGGAGAGAGACAGACAGAGAGAAAGGGAGAGTGAGAGAGCAAGCTGCCAGGTATGGGACATGAACCATGGTCTGCTACATGGGAGTCCAGCATCTCAACCACTACACCACCAGCCGGCCCGCCCAGAGTGATTTTTAAGCCACTAGGTCCAGGACTCGAACTGTGTTCGGCCATGTGGGAGTCCAGTGCTGTGACTGCGGTGCCATCTCCTGGTCCCTGTTTGTTTGTTTAATTTGCTATAGGGTGCATGTGCTCACTGAAGAGAGACAGAGAGAAAGAGAGAGAAGGAAAGAAGGTGAGAAAGCAACCCCCAAGGGGGATGGCCATGCCACAGTCCCTACTTTCACTCTCCTCATGGGATTTGGGTACGTAGGCACGAGTGCCCAGAGTGTTTCTCAAGCCAGCAGGTCCCGGATTCAGACCACACAGCAGGCTGTGTGGGACCGCAGCACACCGGCTGGCCTAGGATGTGTGTTTCTATCTCTTGTTAATGGCTGAAGATACTGAGAGATAGGGAGGTTTGCATGCCTTCAAGATCATCCATCTAATTTGTGGCTAATGAGGCACCATTAGGCCCTGACTTTAGACAGTCCAGCTCTTCTAGATGAAGTGGGCCTGGACCTCCTGGCAGGAGAAGAAAGGCCAAATCTGGAGACCATCTGGCCAGGCCTGGCCTGTGACTTAGCCAGAAGGAAGCAATTGCCTATTAACTGCTTGGGACCCAGTTAACTGGAAAAATTGGTCTGACGTGGAGGAAACACCTGCTGCTGATGGCTGCCTGGGACAGCGGCTTGGGGGTGGCAGTCAGGGCAAAATTCCTGCTAATTCCAGTCATAAATTCCAACCGGTTTCTGACATGCTCCTGCCTTCTGATATTGGGGTGAATTGCTAGGTGTGGGGGAGGAGGAAGAGAAGAGCCAGAAACATGGGAAGGTCCCCTCTAACCCTCTGACTCCAGTGCTTGCCTGTTTAGGGAGAGAGAGCCGCTGAAGTAAGCCCTCGCTGCTGCAGGCCAGGCTCAGCCCCAGGGACTGCGATCAGCTGGCCCAGGCAGGTAGGCCCTGAGCCCTGGGGGGTAGAGGGCAGGGCTGGGACCGGGGAAGGAGGGCTGTACAAGGGCTGGCCCTGTGGGAGCACAGCAGGCAGCCTGCAGCTCTGGAGGGCAGCAAGAGGAGGTGGGCTCCCCCATTAGCTCCCGAGCTCAGTGCTGAGCCTGTTATGTTCCAGGTCACAGAACGAGAGTTAGTGTGAAGAGAACCAGGGAGAGGGTGAGATGGTGGTCATGCTGGGGGCTGGAGGACAGTGCTAGAGGACTGCTGAGGGACAGGGGCAGGTGATCATTTGGAATGTCCACTCTGATGAGAGGAAACCCTGATCTGTTCTGGGTTTCTCTTTCAGCTCAAGTCCTGGCTTGTCCCCCAGCCCAAGAGACCCCTGTGTGGGCAGAAGCCGCAGCCTGAAGGAGGGTGGGAAGAAGCAGCTCTGAGCAGGTAGGCTCCCCCTCACGGCCTTTCATTTCCCCAGGCTGGGGCTGGCAGGCAGAGCCGAGGTGCTCTATGTTCTAGGCTGGGCCCCCTTCCCTCTGAGTGAGTCTCTTCTGAAGAACCACTGAGCCCAGGAAAGTCCAGAGAAGGCAACTGGCTGGGGCCAACAGTGAATTTTTGGGGCATCCCGGAAGCCCAGGCGAGAGGCATACATGAGGATGAGGAGACCAGAACCAAGACACAGCGGAGGCTCACGTTTACTGACTGTGACTTCCTCCCATTCATTCTGATCTAACCCTCGCAATAACCCATGGAGACGGTGAATCGTTACCCGCAGTTATAACAAGGGAGCATGGGAGGTTAAACAGCCCACCCAACATCAGCTCTCAGGGAAGTGGGCTCCCGCCGAGGCTGCAGAGCCTGTGCTCAGCCACCGAGGCTGCGGCCTCCCGAGAGACTCAACATGGCTCCTGGCTGCTTGGTGGGGAGGGGTTCCGCTGGCCTGGCTGCCTATGTCTGTCAGCCCGGGAGCTGTCCTATGCAGCCTGGGTTTGTGATCCAGGCCGCGCGAGGGTCAGTCTGCCAGGCAGCATTCACTTCTGGTGGCATTCACCTCTCTCCAGTCCCCAGAGCTCACCCTGTCACTGGCTGCTCTGCTGAAATGATCAATAAGAAATGCTGGTTGATCTGAGACATGTATGCTTGCAGCTGGATCGGAGTGAGCGACTGCTCGTCTTCTGCATGTGCTTTCCGGGTGCGTGCGTGTGCGTGTGCGCGTGCACGCGTGTGTGTTCCAAATGGGCAGTAGCGTGTGGGAAGGGGAAAAGCGTGACATTGTTTTTGCCAGTGTGCCGACTGCTCAGCCCCTCGCTGCCTCCTCTGCCCCCAGCTGCTCTGCCATTTCTCTCTTTACAATCCCGCCCGATCCTGAGCAGAGATAAAAGCTGATTTCCGCTTCTGCTCCGGAGATCCAGGCGCAGACCCTGCAGGCAGCTGCTCCGAGGTCACACAGCCATTAATCTTCAAAAGCCCCCCTCCCCCCTGCACACACATCTCACATCTCTCCCCCCACCCAGCCCTCCTCTGGGGCCCAGCAGCGCATCTGCCTGGCTGGCCCCTGCCCTTGACTTCCAAGCAGTTCTCCAGACAGCAGCACTGCAGCTGCAGCCTCACATCTGAAGGGTGGGAAGGAAGAGGGTGAGAGGGAACCCACTCTGCAGCAGGGAGGAGGCCGCTTCCTGCTGGGAAGGGCTGCTGAGACTGCAGGAGCCTGGCTGGGTTCGTGCAAAGGCGGTTCTGTGGGAGCCTCTCAAAGTAGGGCAAGGAGGAGGCAGGGGGAAGGTCGACTGGGGAAGGCGCCTGTCAGAGCCAGAGCGCCCACCTGACCCAGGCCATGCGACCATGACCACCTGTCTCAGCTCCTGCCAGCCTGTCTTTATCCTGGGAGGCCTCAGCCAGGCCGGTGACAGGCCTGTCAGGCCGAGGGCCAGAGGGCACTGTTCCAGGCCCCATCTGTGTTCCCCGATCTTACCTTTTCATCCATCCTCTCTCTAGTTGCCACTCCCCTGTCACCTCATGCTTGCCTCAGCTCTGCCTTTTCCAAGTTGCCTATCTCCTCCAGCGGGTCGGAGGAATTGTCAGACCAAGGTCACGGAGCTGCGCCGGAGCTGGCTCGCGGCCCAGGCACACTCGCGCACGGCAACAGCCCTTTGCAGCTCTGTTCTGAGGACCCGTGCCGGATCCAGCGGCTCCTCCAGGGATCCGTTCTAGATGAAGATGGGGAAAGAGAGGAAGGGGCTGCTGGCGGTGGGGGAGGAGGGGATGCCTGGGCTAGGAGGTTGCGGAGCGGGTGGAGGGCTGGCAGCCGGGGCGCCATGTGGGCTGCGGGGAGGGGCTCTCCCCCCAGGGAGCAGGCTAGCTTTGGTGGGAGCAGATTGTGTTTACACCTTCCCCGCACACCCAGCCCACGCTCGCCTCTTATTCCCAGGGCCTCTCCCACCCTGGGCTCCCTGAGCAGCTCCTGCTGCAGACGGGGCGGAGAACTCCCCTGCAGGAGCCTCTGGACCAGCTGCCCCGTCCTCAGCCTGCTAGCTCCTGTCACGGGGCTGGTGTGCAGCCCGTGGCCAGGGTAGACTTTTACGTGGAGAAGTCACTTAAATCCCGGCTGTGACACTGTCCCTACAGAGACTGAGTTCTTTACCCTCCCATTTCCTCAGAAAGAGTGGCACCCAGAAATGGGAGAAGTGTTTGGGGCTTGGTAGAGGGTGTTGTGGACAACTAAAGACAGGGCTGGGTCACATGCTGTCTGTGGTGCAGGCTACCATGAAATGACTGCATGGAGCCCAAGAGCCAGGGGCCGGAGCTGACACCTGGTCTGTGATCTTTTTTTTTGGAGAGATTTTTGCTATAGGGCACGTGCACTCGCCAGACAGACAGAGAGAGACATAGAGACAGAGAGTGAGAAAACACCCCCCCAGGGTGGATGGTCACATCGCAATCCCTTCTCCTCCATTCTCCTCTCAGGATCTTGGGTACACACGCACATGAGCCCGGCGTGAGTTTTAAGCCACCAAGTCCGGAACGCGAACCACAGTCGACAACGTGGGAATCCAGCGACATAGCCATTACGCTAACTGCTGGTTCCCTGGTTTGGGATCTTGACTCGCACCACTCCCCACCTCTGTGGCTGTGGTCATTCCTGACCCTCTCTGACCTGTTCCTCACCTGCAGGACGGAGAGAGCAGTACTGTCCCAGAGTCACTGCGAGGGCTGCTAGCCCGTGAGTGGGACGCGCTCGCTGAGTGGCGGTGTGAGTGCTCCGAACGTGTGGCTAGTGGGATTACTTGTGAATTGTCAGCTACCAAAGGGTCAGTTAGACCTGTGCATCCATGGTCCTTCCTGTCCTGTCTCTCCACAGACACACGGCTGGGTAGTTCTGAAACCAGCTGGAGGAGAGCAGAGGGTGGGCCTGCTGGGGTGGGAGGCCCCCAGTAAGTGTGCTAGAGAAGCCGTCCTTGCCTCTCTTCCCAGAACTCTGTCTCCACCTCCGGGGGGGTCACTGGACACCCCCCAGCTCACCAACCGGCTCTGCTTCCAGAACGAATCTCAGCTCCTCAGACCAGAGGCAGCTGCCTGATGTTTGCTTCCTCTTCCGCATGCTAATCTCTGCTGGCAGGAGCCTGAGTGACAGGGGAAGGCTGCTCCAGACTGCAGGGTGGCCGAGGGCAGCCGCCCTCTGTGGAGGGCCGGGCGGTGCTGCCGTCTGCTCCTGTACTGAGACTCAGGGTTGCTGCCAGTTTCTCCGGGAGGTTGGAACCTGACCAGAGAACTAACGAGGTGGTGGGAGCGAGAGGAGGGAGAGGAGCAAGGGAAGTAGCCATGGCAGCTGCTGCTCAGTGCCACCCTGGTGCCACCCCAGTGCCACTCTGGGGCAGATACAACCTCGGGGGAAAGCACCCATCCCAAATGTGTGGTTGTGTGCAGGACAGTCCTGGGCAAGGGAACGTAGCAGGGACCCTGCTCCAAGCCCAGATGAGCAAGGCTTGATGCCCGACCTGAGGCCGGACAGGGTGTGAGAACAGCAACGCCACTGACCCTGCTGACTCCCAGGGCCTCTCTGCAGGGGCCTCAAAATCAGCCAGAAGCCCAAGGCCTTGAACTAGAGGAAAGCTATGCTTCTCTGTAAGCCTTAGAAGAAACAGGCTGAGTGTACACGGAGGCTCACGTTAGCGATATAATGATATTAGTAATGACTAACATGTATCAGATGCTTATTACACGCGCTTGGCACCGTGCCAGGTGCTTCGTTTGTAAGGGTGTCTCATTTATGAAGCAGGAACTGTTATCCTCATTTATCCAGGAAGGGAAGTGAAGTTCTCAGAACTTGCTCAAGGTCACTCCCAGCTAGCCGCAGTCTGCAAAGGTGGATGCAGAGAGAAACTAAGTCTGGGGGGTGCCCTGTGGAAATTCCAGGTGTGACCTGTCCACAAGGGTGCCAGACATGGAGCTGCCACCCACTGGGCCGTTCCTTGTCAGGGGGGCAGGCGTTTGCCAGGGTGGTCAAGGCTGCTCCCCCTTCAGGAACTCCTCTTTCGAGGACAGACCAGGCCCTGGGCCCTGACAGCTAGTCTGTCCCTGCCTGCTGGCCAGGGGGTGAGAGGACTGCCTCTCTAGGGACTGTCAGCCCGCCTCAGGGAGGAAGCGGAGGGCCTGGCAGGAATGACAGTGCAGCCGTCACTCACAGCCATTGTCACTGCCACTCTGCTGCCTCTGTCAACCCGGGCAGGACCCTGGGGAGAGCTGAGGACGGCAGCCAGCATACCAGCGGGAGAGGAGGGAGCGAGGAGGAGGGCTGATTTAGCTTGTTTGTTTCTGCAGAGGGAGGGCGTGGGGCGTGGAGACTGAGCAAAGGGCTTCAAGAGGGACCAGCTCATGGGCTCACTTCTGTCCCAAGTCCCGGTACCTAAGGACCAGGACTACAGGCCCTCTCTGTGGGGTCCAGGTGCCCCTAGTGGGGATTAGGACTGGATGGTGGCTGAGAACATCAGAGCAATGACAAGAGAGTTGCTGGCAGAATCTGAGCCTATGAGCCAGAGTGGAAGGGGCCAGTCCTGTCCCTGTATGAGACACACACACACACACACACACACACGCCATGGCATTCAGGGACAGAAGCCATTTGAACCGAGCAGTAAAAGAAAGTAACGTGATCGTTTGGTGGTTTATTTAACAAACAAGGACTGGGAGCCCATGACTACAAACGCTGTTAGGTGCTGGAAGCCATGGGCACTGAGACGGCCTGCCCTGCTGGTTAGGACCATGCACGGATCCGGCCCAGGAAGCCCAGTAATCCAGCGTGGCCCTGCCCGCTTGCGTGACCTTTCATTAGCTGGGCCTCAGCTTCCCCAGTCCGTAAACACGTGTGGAACCCAGGTGGAGGGTGCTGAGGATACAAAGGGCTAGTGAGAGACGGCCTCTGGAAAAGAGCTGCCTAGGACGGTGGAGGA